CCTGTCCAGGTCTCGCTGAATGGCAGCACAAAACTGGCCACTCCTCCCAGTTTTGTGTCATCATTCAGTGCAAAGGCACTATAAAAGATTCCTCACAGTTTACTAGAAAGTTGCAAAGGACTTTTTAATAAGCATTCAAGCCACAATAAATCTTTTGTGCCTCTTCAGATGTTGCCGTATTTCTCCATAACACTTTATAGCTTTTAAGCATTCTTGTAATCAAAACCTTCCTTTTGAGTCAGCTGTTGTACATTGTTTGTGGGTACATTCCTTTGGCTGCCTGAGTGAAGTAATGAAAAAAGTGAAACATACTAGCTTTGAAACGTTTAGTAACGTTATTCCTAGTACTGTTAGACAGACGAGGACTTAAACATTTGTATGATGAATCCTAGATTCTTCATACTTTTCAGTAAGAATTAACAATATTTTTACCACCCGTATGTGTATGCTTTTGTGGATTCTTTTTTTCTTGTTAGCTAGCAAGCTTCTCAACATATAGAAGGATGCTGATCATGAGTTCTTTTGGCAAGGTTGAGCCAATTGAGAATTCAGTTTTATAGATGGTAGTAATATCTAAGAATATAACATTTGAGTTAATATGAAAGATTTGTGGAAGTGATTGCACGGGTATTGTTCTTTAATAAACTCTAACTTCGTATGTCATGATTTTTTTCCCCTCCCATCTTCTGTCACCTCTAAGTTATGTATTTCTCCTAGATACCGAGACTTAAAATCGATAGATCTAGATAGATAGATCTATGTACCAAGAGCTGAACCTAAGTGGGAAGGATAAGAAAGATGCTCTTTCTGTTTATCTTTCTCAGCGGGCAGCAGACAAGCTGCATGCTTGTTACAATATTCTAATTATTAACTATTTCTCTTTCAGTTTACATCTTTCCAGTAGCATAGACCCTGGTCTGAATATCAAGAAGCTTGGAGGTTTATATATTAGTTTTGATGCAAAAACCCAGAAGCCTAGATCAAGTGTGATTAAACAACTGAAGGAGAAAAAGAAGGACCAGGTAATGTGTTTACAAATACGCAGTTACCGTGACTACAGTAACACAAAGATGTTCATTTAATAAGGTTGGTTTACTTGTTTTTAAAGAAGTTTTACGGTTTGCTGAGAAGTTCCATTCTTTTTGGCCAAAGTGTGGATTTACGTTTGGTTTTAATGGTAAGAATTTAAGTATATGTGACACTTCAGGAACTGAAAAGCAGCGCAGGTACCAGCATTATCTTGTAAAATGAAACGAAGTTGATTATGCCTGCGATTTTGTGTAATGGTACACGAGCTGGAGGTCTGCCAACAAGATACTTAGTCCATAGCAAGAACGAATTTCAATAAATAAAGTCCTTCTATACTCTCCCTAATACGGAATTAGCAGTTTTATTTCAGAAGCGCCCTTTGAGCAAAAGGGAATGCATTATTGTCATTGAGACTGTTTTCTTAGGCTCATCCATGATAGCCCTCTTTATTCTAGAGCGTTTGCTGTCTGACTTCTTCCAGAGCTAGTAACTGCTTCCTGTTGTTGGCCAGGGTTCTGTTTTGAAGGTCGCTGCTGCTTTCATTGCAGATCAAAGAAGCTCGAGTATTGTTTAGATTCTGCATGATTCCTTTAGTAGGTTCTGTAAATGGTTAAGCGGTAAAATTTGGATCAGTGAGATGACTGTCTTAACTTTAAAAAAATTCTTACAGCTCTTAGAGAAGAGTATAATAACTCCAGATTTTGAGAAAAAGGAATGTGTCCCACCCCTCAGGGAGTCGCTTCACCAGCTAAAGAAGCAGCGCAGGGTAAGTGAACAGCTAATGATGCCTCAAATAACAAAACAAGGTTTGGTCAAAAGCCCCGTGCTGGGACTGTGAGTGTTACAGGCCTCACTGGAAGTGCAGTGGTGAACTGCAGTTTAGTGTCTTCCTTGAGCCACCTGTAAATAGCCATCCTTTTAGTCACCAGGACAGTGAAGTGAAAGGTAACGTGCTCAGATGGTACAAATCTGTCATTAATACTGTGCTGATGAGCTTTTTATTGTAAGGGTCATAAAATATACTCTTAAAAGGTACAGAGTTATGTTCTGAATGCTTTATCCAACTTTTGAAGGGGAGAGTTCCCTGCTCTATCCTGTCCTAGTTGCTGAGCGCAAATTTATTATTCTTGGTATTGCATCGTAGGCAGAGCGAGAGAAAACAACAGGTGATGGCTGGTTTGGTATGAAAGCCCCAGAAATCACAAGTGAACTGAAAAATGATCTTAAAGTGTTGAAGATGAGAGCTTCGCTGGACCCTAAGCACTTTTATAAGAAGAATGATAGAGACGGTCTGCCCAAGTACTTCCAGGTGAGGAGGCAGCGGAAGGTGGCATTGTACTGCTGAAGTTTTGATCAGCTGTTCTTATTCCCTGCCTGTTTTGTAGGTAGCCTCTGTGTTGATTTAATTTCATAGCTTAATTGTTAAAGTATTTTGATTACTTGGCCACAGTTTACAACTGCTTAACTCTTGTATTGCATATGTGTATATGCTGGGGTTTTTTATTTCAGCTGGTCTCATAGCAGTGAACAAACATCTGACTGAATCCATATTCTGAACCCTCAGTGGAGTAGATTTTCACTGCTTTTTAAAAACATTAGCCTTTTTTTAACAAGTGTATAGAAAATAATTAGCATTTATTTTCTTACTAGCTGATACAGTTTGAATGGAGACAGCTAACTTTGTGATCAGCCAGAATTTCTGCTGCTGAGCCCTCGGCTTTGAAGTGGTTTGCATAAAGAAAATAATTACTGTGGAAACTATAGAAATCTGCTTCCATCCCCTGACGCCTGCTTGAATAGTTAGCATGCTTGAGGAAATTGTTTTCATTTCTCAGAATTTTACCCCTTCACTCTAAAGGGTGGGTCTTGTATGTTTTTGAAGTTTCTGGGCATAGAAAAACTTAGATGAAAGCGTTCCACATAACGCGATCTGTGCAGGTCTGTGTTCACTGCGTGAAACACGTACTCCTGGATCTCCCCTACTAACCTGAATCGTCAGAGCTGGCTGACATGCCAGTTGGAAAAGGTGTGACGTGTTCCAGGATGGAGCCCTTGTATTAGAGCTGGGTTAACTTCTGTACAGGCATCTAGCAAAGCCACCACAATAACCGAGACCAGAGGGAGTTAAGATGGTCGTAAGGGTTTCCTTTCCCTCCTTGGGAAAATGTTTAAAAGTTAAGAACTGGATTTCTTTTGTGAATACAAGCGTTGATGCACAGTCCAGTGTTGAAAACTGTACAGTCTTAAAGCTCCTCTGTGCACTAAGCAATGAGTGACCCTGCATACAAAACATTGCTCGATTTTGGTATTTTGCACTTTCTTAAGACACCATTCTGATCTCTGTAGGTGTCTTTATGCTTGTCAACGAGGATTTAAAAAAAAAAAAAAAAAGGCAAAATAATCAACATCTTGCTGTGTAGTGAGAATGTTTTCATTTCTGTTTTCTAGGTTGGAACTGTGGTTGATTCTCCCATAGACTTTTACCACAGTCGAATCCCTAAGAAACAAAGGAAGAGAACAATTGTTGAAGAGCTGCTTGCGGATTCTGAGTTTAGAAGGTATTTAAAAATGGTTTTGTAATTCTAATATCCTGTGTGAATGAGGAGTATTTTTAACTAAATTTTTAATTGTGTTTTTATTCAGCTTATATGTTTGGGTTTTTTGTACTTCAAAGGAAATGTTTTGGTCTGTTTTAGCACTTCAGCAGCACTGCTGTTGAGGAGATCTAAGGGACAGGGGATGATTAGACTGTGAGACGGTGTGGTTTTTATCTTCATGAAAGGGTTTTACCCCACTCCGGTCATCACTATTGACAGCCACTCTTAAAATAACGTCAATGTTAAAGAGATAACATATCAGCCCTATTGTGGTTCACTTCTAAAATAAGTCTTTGTACAGGCTTGCTCCAAAAATGAGGGCTCTGAATGAGTGATTTATGGCCATGTGTGCACTTTTTTTGTTGTTTAAAGACTGATTAATTTTTCTTGGCATAATTGATAGAAAAGTGCTGACTAATTCTGTGACAGTTCGTATGATTTCATTTTCTAAGCATGTCAGTCTGCCACCGGTCATAGGAGTCAAAATTGTGCTAGAAATCTTACTTGAAGAATATGATTGGATTAATTAATGTCTGCCTAGCTTACAATTTCTGGAGTAGATACCTTAGTTCATCCGTTTTGATACTGCTTATTACATGACGTTAACCTGCACTTCTGTTTTCACATAATGACATGTTTTCTTGGAAGTAGTACGTCATTTGGGATTATAAGGTTAATGTTTTCAGGCTTGTAAATTAATTATTAATGTTGGGAAGGCAAGTTAGTTTTCTGGCTTGACCTGATTTATAAGGTATTTATTAGAAGCTATTTTTAAAAATTAACTTATTTGAAATTTGGGGAGTTAATTCATGTTGTGGCTAATTAAGAGCTTTAACCAGATACCTTAGCATTAGTGCAGATGTTTGTCAGGTTTCAGTGTTGCGATTAAAGGTCTCCGTACTGCTCAGTGTGCGGGGATCCGTTGTGGTAATTGGTACAGGTATGTCAGAATCTGTCTGAGAGGAGCTGGCAGCTCAGCTTCAGTAAGTACATCCTGCTCATTGTTTAGTGTAAATCACGTCTGTTTTCAGTCTGGAGTAGAGCAAGGTTGATTAGAGTTTGCTGAGAAGACAGAATAAAAATGGGTAGAATTTGACCTTAGTATTGTCGAAATTTGAGTCTTCCCACTATGAGCAGTAGCAGTGTTTTAGCAAACTGTCCGAAATGTGATTGCGTATGCAATGAAGAACCCCCTGGTTGTGTCAGAATTAATGGTTCTTCAATCAAATTCACTTCCAAACCAAATTTACCTGCATTTATCATTAATCCAAGTGTTGACTTCTATTTAAAATACAGAAATGTATAAAATTAAAGAAATCTGACTTGGAAAACATGAAAGAATTCAGTTTGGCAAATTATCTATGTAGAGTACTTTCCATGTTATCTTTTCCTGAACTTTGGTTTACCATGCTTAAAAGTAAATTATCTATTTTGTTCAGATATAATAAAAAGAAGTATCAGGAGATCATGAGTGAAAAAGCAGCTTTTGCAGCAGGGAAGAGGAATCGGAAGAAGAGGAAATTTCACAATTAAGACTTGAAGAAAAATAACAAGTTGGAACAATTTATTTGTTATAAAACTTTATACAGAATGCTTTGGTTGTGGTGTGTTTTTCTTTAAGATTGCAGGTCATGTGCAAATTGAGGGTTAGGGAAATTCTTGCAGTGAGAATTTGGTAAGGAGCTTTATCAAATTATCAGGTATTTAAATTAATTTAGATTTTAAAACTAAATTTTTATTTAAATTAATGTTTATATAAAAAGATAATGGTACGAAAGCATAAATCGGAGCACAAAATCCAACTTCATGGATTATGGTCTTTTCAGGCTTCGGTCTTCAGATCAATTAGTAAATTAATTTTAAAGTTATGTGTGTCTTTCACCTTGGCACCCATTATGTGGCAGAACAAATTTTTGCATGTCTTGTCAGAGGTGCTGCTGGCTAGTTCTGTAACAGAAGGTACTGAGAAAGAGTTTGGTTGTGAAGGGTTTATTTCAACACTGACCATAACAGGAATGAGAATGTCCTGGAATTCAGCATATACACATATACTTATATACTTTTATATCTATATATTATTTCTATTCTAATATAAATAGTAAAT